ATCCCCTCCTTTGGCAGGGGTGCTGAGAGACTGTGGGACTTCAGTCAAACAGCTAGAGCGGGGGGGTGGGGGAGTGGAGGGTGTTCCGGGACCAGGAGTAGACTCCACATTCTTGTTCCAGAGCCCAGCGCGCTCCAGCCCTGCTATCCCTTCTCCCTTCCTCTTTCTCATCTGGAGTTCTAGATCTCCATCTCCTGTTCCGGGCTTTGGTTTCCACTGTGCTGTCCTCTCTTGCCTTGTTTTACCTCTATTTAACCCTTGCCAGAACAAGGGTTGGTCTGGGAAGAGAGGTAGCGATGTGGAAACTGGCTCAGCGTTTAGGAGACAGATGAGGACAGAACCGACCCATGCCCTGGGGTTATCTTTGGCTTTGTTGTTGTTGTTTTCCTTCCTCCAATTTGGGACCCTCTTAACTTCTGAGTGCTGGGATTACAGGGTGCCCAGCCAAACCTGGCTTGAGGCCTATTATAAATCAGGCATGAAGACGGACCACGTGACACGTTTTATTTCTTTCCATCTTTCAAGGCAGAGGAAAACTCAGAGAGGTTCAGAAATTAGGGCAGGGATACCCAGCTGGCAAGTGATAGCTGTTTGATTCAAAAATCTTTCTGGACCAGGTGGCGGTGGTGCACACCTTTAATCCCAGCACTCAGGAGGCAGAGGCAGGTGGATCTGAGTTCGAAGCCACCCTGGTCTACAAGAGTGAGATACAGGACAGCTAGGGCTGTTACACAGAGAAACCCTGTCTCGAAGAAAGGAAGGAAGAAGAAAACCTTCCTGGGTGCAGTGGTACATACCTTTAATTCCAGCATTTGGGAGGCAGAGGTAATTAATTGAACCTCTGAGTTCGAGGCCAGCCTGGTCTTTAATAGCAAGTTCCAGGATAGTCAGAGCTGCATAGAGAGACTGTCTCAACAAACAAAAAAAGCAAAAGAAAATCTGGTTTTGTTTTCCACCAGACTTCGCCTCACAGAGGCTAACAATGCACACCCTCACAGAAGGCACGATACTGCTCTGTCCTCTGGGGACAGCCCCTTCAGCATGCACCTCCGACGCCCACCTTTCTCTGGCCCCTTTTGCAGGATGGTGGAAGAGCACAGATGCAGGGCATTTACCACCCCCCTGGGGGTGACAGGAGGCAGTGATCCAGACCAAGCAACCTGGCAAACCAGACCATGGGGGTCTCCCTCCTGCCGACACCCTTCCCTGTTGCCATCTGCCCCTCCCTTTTGTGGGTCAAGGCTGCCAGCTTCTGAATCTGCTTCCTTCTGCGCTGGGGGAAGGGAGCGTCAGGGTGAAGGGGTGTCTGTGCACGAACATAAGGCCTCCGGGTTCATTCTGACACTGAATGAAAACCTCGCCAATTATTCGTCCAATCTCATTAATATGCAGACAGACATCTGTTATTTAGGAGTCAACAGCAGAGCACTTTCTTGGGGGAGGGGCACTTATGTACATCTCTCCTCTGGGGCTACTGTGAGATAGCTGCTTGGGACTCACCCCATCCCCCAGAATCTGGAGCACCTCACCCCCGGGAAGGGAAGGAGCTAGGTAGAGATGGAGGGGAACCAGGAACTCATCTGGAAGGAGGGAGGTAGAGAGGGGGCAAAATCATAGAAGAAACCGCTAAAGCAGAGCGCCAGGGACTCTTCCTGGAGAGGAGCGTGGAGCAGAGAAGAGAGCTGCACTAGGATGGCCTGCCAGGATCCTGATGTCCCCTGGGAAATTCCAGCATGACTCCTCTTCAGGCCATTGGGCAAACCCGAGTGGGTCTGGGTGGGTTGCTCTAGCAACATGGTAGAAAGCAGAGCGTGGTCACATTTGCCTGTAATTCCAGTTCTGCTGGGCTTGAGGCAGGAGGACCGCAAGTTGAAGGCCCCTCTGAGTTGCATAGTAAGACCCTGCCTGAAGAACAGACACATCTGGGCATTGGGGTCCAAGCCTGTACCCCTCAAAAGAACCCATTTCTGAGGCTTGTAGAAGATGGGCCCAGTGGTGTGGGCTGAGACAGCAGAGTCATATACAGGCATGAATTTGTCTATTCATGTCTAGACATGCAGAAAAATGAAAAATTAGCGAAGTGTGGTGGCACGTACCTGTAACCTTTGTATTTGGGAGACAGAGGTAAGGTATACATAAATGAGTCCCAGGCCAGGCCAGTCAGAGCTACATAATGAAACCTACCTAAAAAAAAAAAAAAAAAAAAAAAAAAGGAAGAAAAAGAAAGAAAGAAAGAAAGGAAGGAAGGAAGGAAGAAACCAAACGCTGTGGCAGTGATGGCAGAATGACAGCATGAACTGGACCAGGAACTTTGGCATGAGTAAACACATCCAGATTCTATTGCTTCAACGCCACCCAGTATGGCGGGAGCTGATCTGGCGTGTATGTGTGCATGTGTGTGTGTGCACTCATGAGCTCATGTGGCACACAAATGGAAGTCTGAGGACAAATGTAGACGTTAGTCCTTACCTAGGGCTCTCTCCATGGCTGACCCTTGGGGAGGGCTAGAGTCACTGTTGGGGCTGGGGGCCTTCATGGGCTGCAGTGTTTGAGAAATGAACCCAGGAGTCTCCTCCCCTTCCCTCGCTGATTGCTGAGGTTAAAATACACTGACAGCATCACAGCATGATTGGTTGTTTATTTCATTAAATGATTAACAAGGCTACATTGGAGTCTAATTTGTGGGGGAAACAGCCACAGAGGAGGAAGCAGAGTCTAATTCTTGCACGTGGGTAGGGGGTACGGAGGTAGCTGTAAGATTCCCTCCAGCCTGCAAGGACCTTTTGGAACCTAGGAACACTCCAATTGCCTCGTCCTACCCGCTGGGCTCCTAGGTTCCGAGACCCATCCTCTTCCCCAGAAATAAGTCTGGCAACACAGCCTTGCAGAGGGAACTAAATTCCCTTCCCACTGGTTTTGGAAATATATTAAACTTTGGGGGTTCCTCCAGCTGATTTATCTTCCTAATTATGTTTGCTTTAGGCTGCTATTGAAATGCACTTGCAGTCTCCAAGCATAAATGGCACAGGAGGAAGATTGGGGGGATAAAGGGGTGCAAATATCCTGCACTGTGGGGGCTACAGGTTTGAGCCTGCTTTGTACTAGGGAGTCCAAGAGAAGTGCCCCACCAAAAGTTTCAAGTCAACTTTTCTTTTTATTTATTTATTTTTGTATTTTTGAGACAGGGTTTCTGTGTAGCCCTGGCTGTCCTGGAACTCCCTCTGTAGACCAGGCTGGACTTGAACTCACAGAGATCTGCCTGCCTCTGCCTCCTGAGTGCTGGGATTAAAGGAGTGCGCCACCACTGCCCAGCTCAAGTCAATTTTTTTGAAGTTGAGGAGAATCTCATTCTGTAGCTCATGCTGGCTTTGAACCCTCAGCAATCCTCCTGCCTCAGCCTCCCAGTACTGTGATTACAGGCACTAACCACCATACCCACTTACAAGTTCATTTTTATAGCAAGTCCCTACTGGGGGTAAAAAATCAGTCTTCTGGGAGAGACAGAGCCCCAGCCCTCTCCAACACCTCTCGGTTCAGGACTTGGGGCCCTTGAGGAAGGTCTCAGTGTCAGCCCCTAAGCAGGTGGGAGTCTAGGCACTAGACTCTCTTAGACTGGCAGAGATGGCTTGGGATAGGAGTCTCAAAGGAGATGGTGGGGGGAGCAGTTCAGTAAGCCAGAAAACAGGGAAGATGTTCCTGCCTAGAGAGCGGGGTCTGAGAGAGGGAAAGGAGAAGCTGTTTCCTATGTCATATCTCATAAAGCCCAAACCCTTAATCTCCACCATCTCATCCATCCAAAAAACCAAATCTAGGCCCCTGTGCTTGAAACCCCTGCTGGCTCCTCACAAGAAGTGCTGACTCCCACGTGGGCTCTTCGGTGGCCTCAAAGGACCTTGCCAGCCTTGCCATCCCTCCCTGCTGTGGGAGCCCTGTGTGCCACACGCTTGCTTTCCTCTATACTTAGTTGCATCTCCTGCACCTATGCCAAAGGTACCACCACACCAACTCCCTCGGGACTTACTGGCTCAGGGAGCCCCACAATGGTCTGTATGTGTACAGGGTCCCTCAGCCAACGTACGTACCTCTCTTCTCCACTGGGCTAGGCTCCAGACGCTCAGAGACTATCGTCTCTCAATCCAGTGTGTGGCACCACTGACAACAGTGTATGCTTGGTGCAGGGAGGGGTGGAGTGCACACAGGGTCCCACCAGATGGGAGGGCAAGGCCTGCTTCCATCCTCTCCCAACATGGCTGGCAGAACTGAATAGGGTGGAGTTGGGAGGAGGGGAGAGCCACCCGCGGATGGTTCCTGGGGGAGAATGTCACCAAAAGGAGGCCAGTGGGACCAGAGCCAGGAAGGGAATACAGGACAATCTGAAATCAGACTCCCAAGGAAACAGACCAGCACTGTCCTGGCTGACCAGTCCTCTGGCCATCCCCTCCACCGGCGTTCACTCCCAGGGGACTGGGGTGGGGATGACTCTCGATTACAGATGATGCTCCCCCACTGACCAAGGAGCTCAAGGTAGAGCTGAACGGGAGCCCATGCTCGGGTCCTTGAGGAGACTTCGTCCCCTTAGTAAGCTTCACCTTATACCAGGGTTCAGATTCAGGGATATGGAAGCTTTCAATGCCCTTCCTATCTTCACAATCCCTAGGGTGTCAGCAGGCTGCAAGCCAAGGGTAAAGACTGTGAACAAGGGGCTTGTACCACTTCAGCGGGCCCTCTACCGTGCTAGCAGGATACCCAGCCAGGCTGAGTAATGCTGAACACTTGTGCAGCATCAGTTCACTCCAAGACACCCCGCCCCCCACCCCTTCCTAGGGCTCTCTACTCAAATTAACTGAACCGAAGTTTCCCAAGGTATTTCACTCTCCCACCATGGCTTCTATACTTTGGATTCTTCAGTACATGGCTTTCTCCTGTGTTTTCTCTGTAGGCAAGGATGCTGATGGATTGGGATGTTTTGGGGGGAAAAGGAACAAAACTAAGGCCATAGCTGTTTTCCATGGTCATGGGCTTTATTTGCAGACTGCTGGGGAAGGAGGAAACTAGAACTGGTTGCTAGGTTGATGGTAGGAAAGGACTTCTGGTTTTAAATTTTAGTGTGTGTTGCCTGAAGGTTAGAATGTGTGAGAACAGATGCAGAAGGGAGGGGAGAGGAGGTCTTCCAACGGACACTGTCCTCAGGGAAGGCAGACAGGCTATGGGAACTAGGGTGAGGAAGGAAGATACACACTTTATAGAAGACTTGTCCAAAGTCATTGCTTGATGCTGGCTTCCCGAACACCAGCCTGCCCCTTCAGTTCATGCCCCAGACGCCTACCCTGTTAGCCCTCTCAGCTACCAGCAGAAAAGGGGATGAGGGTGCGGAATAGCGACACCTTCTGTCCTCTAGCTCCTCCAACCAGAATTGCTTCTCTGCCTGCCCTGCCCTTCCAGCCAGGGTCAGGAAGTCAAAAAGTCCAGGAGCAGGCAGGGGAACAATCGTATCTCTCACCCTCTCCACTCTCTGCCCCTCACATCAGGTTGCAGCTCTTGGCTCGATCCTTATGTATCTCGCCCTCATTTCCCCGCTCTGGCCTTCCCGACAGCTGAGTGGATCTCTGCAGTCCCCGGCGAGAGTCGGTACGACGCAGTTGCCGATGGCCACGGCCAAGAGAGGCCACGGTGGCCACATGGAAGACATCCCTGACGCTGCGTTCAGAAGACCGGGAGGAACACTCAACGTACGACACGGCCCCCACCTGCTTGGCCAGCACAGTGCCCTGGAAAAGAAGGGGATGGGTGGAAATTACAGGGCTTAGCCGGTACTTCAGCTATGGGACACGAAGGCTGTGGGCTAGGGTTGAAGGTCAGAGCTGGGGAAGAATCAAGGGTTTGGGTCAGAGGTTAGGGCAAAAAGGATAAGCCACGCAGGATGGCTTTAAATCAGGGACCAAAACCCGGCCTGGGTGTGAAGTCTAGGCTGGGATTAAGTTGCGGGTTATTGGGCTCACCTGCTCATGTGTAACAGGGATAAGTCTCTGTTTGGATAGCTCCCTCAGCGTGGCCAGGTCAGTCCTCATGTCCAGTTTACAGCCAACCAGCACCACCTTGGCATTGGGGCAAAACTCCTGAGTCTCTCCTTGCCACTAGTTGGGGATGGAAAGCAAGAGTTATGGGGGAGTGGAAGGAGATACAGGGCAGAGCCTCGCTCCATGCATGCAGAAATCACTTGGAGCCTCTCTTCTCGGGTTGAGACCAGAATGGTGTAGAAGAGGAAGAGACAGTGAAGAGACTCCGGGATTGTCTGTCAGCCTGGAACCCTTTCCCATACTCTGTCCTGAGAACAGACCCACCGCACCCTCCCCTGTCTGGGAACTAAGGATGCTCTGACTGACTTGTGTTTTCACCACAGGCTTTTCTTATGGAAATAATGGGCTGGTCAGGAGGCCACAGGGCTTCCCTAAATCAGAGGGTAGGCACCCCCAACCCTTCCATCCAAGGAGATAGGGGAAGACAGATAGCCAATCCCCAGTCTCATCTCCCCAGACGCCATTTCCAGCTCCAAGGATTGATTTGTGGGTGGGAGGAACGGGGCTGGAGTAGAGGGATGCCAGCTTTACCCACCAGCCAGCTGAGGGACATGCCATTATTCCTGTCCCCTGGTCCAGGTCGTGCCCAGTGCCCTCAGTAGCTTCCCTGTTTGCCCAGGCTCCCACCTTCTTGAGGACACTGTCCAGGGTCTCTGGTCGGCTAATGTCAAAGCAGATGAGCACAGCATCAGAGTCTGGGTAGGCCAGAGGCCGGACGTTGTCATAGTACGAGGAACCTGCAGGAAGGGAGTAAGCTGATAAGGTACCTGAGTGGGTGGGAGGCCTGGGAGGGCACGGCAGACTGAACCGACAGTGGACAAGCCAAGGATGGAAAAAGAGTGTTCTTCAATACCCAGAGTGGGGCGCGTCTTGAGACTGACAGAGGGTAGCAGAAAGAGTGGGAAATAGCTCTCTGCTCCCTTATGGGTTTCTCTAATCTAACAGGAATAATTCGTAACCTTTTGGAGAATGGAAACGCTTTAAGAATTTCAGAAGATCTACAATATTCCAACAAATTTTGAGCATGCTTTCTGGGCTTTGATGATACATGCTCTAAGGTCCTCCAGGGAGTCTAGCAAAAATAAAAATCCTTCCCAAGGGGTTGGAGCAGAGGCAGGGAAAGAGTGTTCTTGTTCTCTTGGGACTCTACTACTTCAGTC